TACGCATCCCTGATCCCGCACACGGGACTTGAACCCAGGATCTTCGGCCTCATATACGAACGCCTAACATCTAGACCACTGGTTCGGCATCCAGTGGTGTTATGTCAAACTTCAATCGATCCATGATCTTGATCAATCCTTCATCTATTATCTGAGCTAAATACCTGTCTCCACTCAACACGAATTGGACTCCACTGATCACGGCTTCTCACTAGAACCCCAGGAAATTCATCTTGAAGGAGTTTCATACTAGGATAAAACGTCTAATGCTTCCACTTTTCCAATGGTGGTCTAGCTTAGATCAACTCATGAATTCAAGTGTTGAAATTACTACAATCTCCATTCTGATAAATGAACTTCATCAATCAAATTGTAATAAAGCCACTTTTCTAAGTAATCTTAAATAACATGTATAAGCGAACAATGTTGTCTTCGATTAGATTTTCATCAGGTTTTACTCTAATATACCGTGATTTTATATGCATATATGAAATCATTAAATTAATCAAGGCATTTTATGAGTCAATGATAACAGTATAATAGTTTATATAAATAAACATATGTGAAAAGTACAGATTGATAGTGTGATGTCAGGTGTACTAGTTGTGATAAGAATAATAAAGGCTTGAATTAATGTTTCATAATGGCAAATAGGTCAAAGATTAAAAATATAGACACTGAAATAATATTCATATAAAAAAATTATAAATGTTCAGATAATTGGACAATGAAGCTTGTATCTAAAAAAAGTGTAGGAGAGGGTGATGAAAAATAAACGAACAATGAGTATGGAACAAAATAAAATCATTTATTAAGGTCAAGGGAGAGATAAAGGTGTTACAAATTACTTATGAACACAAAGACTTGGATTGTTATTTCGAATTCCTATGGTTTCTGCTATGTGTAAGAGACGAGGTCGAACCCCATAAAAATAACTAGTAGGAATAAGATAAATCACTCTAAATGATTTATTTCTGTCCACTACATGACCACTATAGATCAAGTGTGATAGAACAGAGCTGAGTATTGTTTTGACGGTACCATTTCCTAACCACGAAGGGAGGTGTTCATTAGCTCGTTGGCTCAGTTGTCTGGTAGTGAGCCCAATATAGCTTTCTCCACAGGAGCAGCTCAAGTCATAGATACACATAGATGTGACAGAACCATGTAACTTATTCTTTGGTTGAGGAATCATCATAGATTGGATCGAGTACGATAGACAGAAGTTGGCTGCATTAAACGTTCTCCCAAATGCTCTAGTCAGTCTATCCCGTAGCACATCACCAGCTACATCTCCAGTGAATTGCAGCTTCAGGAAAAGGGGTTTCTTGATAGCCGTTGATGTCGCTATTTTCTTGTTTGTTACATTCATGTATCTCTTCAGGAAACCTTGTGTAAAACCCATTTCAATCAACATATTATGTATGAACTCTAGTTCCTTGTTTTTTGAATCGACTGAACATATCTTCCTAACTCTATTTGTAATACATCTCAGTTTCCCTTATAATGAATATTAGTACGCTTTTTGTTAAATTATTGTTAATTGAACACACATTTGTTTAATATAATTTCAATGTAGTCTGTAAACCATAGATGAATAAAAACTTCAACTTCTAAAGAGCGAAGAATTCCAATGCATTTTAAAACTAAATAGAAATAAAGTCTTCTAGAACCAAACGAAACTATTCGAAATCCTTTATTTCGAATAAAGGAAAATATTATATTTATATATACACAGAATGATATTTACAGATTAAGTTATGTAGATTGAATGGATTCTATATTGGAGTATCTTCTCGTGAAATCTCAACTCACGCTAAGGAACGCCTGAACTACACAAAAGAACCTAATAATCCTGTAGAACTGGAAAACTTACAAATTAAATCGACAACAGTAGTACATGCTGTTTTCAACAACCACCAGAAACCGATATTAAAAATACTGAAATTATTCAGAAAGATTTCTCCAACTATAAAGAAATGAGAATAGCTGTTTTATGTCTTGAAGACCGCCGACCACTAATACTTTCCCAGCCACCAGTCGGAATCATAGTCTTAACATGGTCTGTTAGTTACTTTATAGTTTAGTATCTCTAACTTGACCGGCTGCACGTTGAATATGTCTACTGACCTCTAGCCAGCAGATGGTTTCCCATTTGCCCATTGTTCTCTAGCTCCTCTCCATGCCTAGAGTTGAGATCAGCAACCAGCGAAAAAAATATTCATAGACTAGTTAGCAACTAAATAGAGGCCATACCATGATCACATAGACTGAGTAGAGGGAATAAGCACTAAACTACATTTAACGACATATGTCCGAAACTGGTACTTGATCGATCACCGACCAAGGTAGTGAGAACATCCATCCAAGAAACCCTACATGAAAATTAAATAACCGTGTAATACCCTCTGGTTATATATATATATATATATATATATATATATATATATATATATATATATATATATATATATATATATATATATATATATATATGAGCACTATATTTAAATCAATGCATTGAATACATGTCTTGTCATTTAGGTTATTTTTTATATGAATATTCTATTACTATAGCTTTCGTTCTCACTGTCAATACTCCAGGTAATCTATTTCCGGTTATTATTTTCCTTAATCTGATGTGGTAATTATTGTGCTACCTATTGTATCTATTCCAGTCTGCTTGAAAATGTAAGCGATACAGTTGTAGGTGAATAAAATGAGTGATAATAAACCATCTAAGCAATTATTAACGGAATGATTGACTGAAGAAATGAAGTTCATTATTTCGATACATTCTATTTTTTTCATTATTAAAATTTAGTTAAAGCATAAAATAGTTATTAACGAAGCTGACAATCACTTAGTTTTTGATACCCTAAACAATGCAGATTTAAGTATCTCTTTGAAGCATCAATAAATAGGATTGGATTGTCAATCACTTGAAAATTATTGCATTAACTGAAAGTTCATATGTTTTTATATGCTTTCCAGGGAATTTTAATTTACTTCAGTAATTTTGTGAAAACTTTACGTAATATTTTAAAGGGGTTTTCATTGTTGGTTGATGTCACCTAGAGGTTGATTGAATATTTCATAATATGAAAGTGTCGTTTCAGTCTATTTTGTTATCGCTGAATAATCAGTAACACGACGTTCAACTTGATATTGAACTCAGGATTAGTAGCTTACAAACTCCACCTGATACCTCATGCAACTACTGAGATTTAGTTTGGTGGTTGATAGTTTTAAATTCTAGTAAGTTGGTTACGCAACATTAGTCTCATTCATTACATTAAGTTATATTCCTGACATGACTAACTTAACAGTTCTTAGCTTTCCACTAGTATTTTGGATTATCCATCCTCTAAAACATCATTGCGTATATTTCAGTGCCGTTAGTTCGTTTCCACCACCTACTGACCTGTTTTTTTATGGTTTCCCCACTGATATTTGTTTGTGATGGAATTTATAGAGATATGAAAGCATTGGATGGTCATTTCGTCCTAGTATTGGACTCCTCAGCAGTGCGCATCAACGATTCCATACACTACACTAGAACCCAGGACATCTGGTCTCGTATATGTCTAACCTCTGAACTACTGAGCTGGGGTTACATCATGAAGCTAGTCTTTAGTGTGCACATGATTGTTATCAGTATGCGTATTTGTGGCGATTGTAGTATTTTCACAGTCGGGTGCAAGACAGTTATCCATTTTAGACAATGGATGAAGGGTCGAGCAAGATTATGAATCGATTGAAATTTTACATTAACACCAATATATGCCAGATCAGTAGTCTAGATGTTAAGCGTTCGCATGTAAGACCAAAGATCCTGGGTTCGAAACCTGTGTGAGGAATTGTGGATGCATACTGCTGAGGAGTCCATACTAGAACGAGACGATTGTCCAGTGTTTCCAGGTTTTCAATGGTGGTCTAGCATAGATTGACTCCTGAATTCAACCATTAAAATTGCTACAATCTCCACAACCCCCCATTCTGACCATAATTATTTATTTTCCCTATAAGTTATTGATTAGGCACAGACATATTGGCTAAATGTTAACGTAACAACTAGATGACAAAATTTTCCTATGATCAGTAAGTGTGTAGGCAACAATTATTTTGAAAGATTTATGCATGTCTGTCTTACAACAAGGAAATTGAATCATAAGAAAACGAAAGTGATTGTGACGTTTTTTAAAATTCGACTGATGAATGTAGCTTCGTATATTGTTTATTGTCGCAATTGTTTCTGATGCAATAGAGCTATAGATTTTATACTGGAAAATAGATCAAATAATCCTCCATTTGAATTTAATTGAACCAATCAAGTTAAAATGGATATTTTAGCAGTACATAGATGAAATGTTTTAAATCTCTCCAGTCAGAAAATGAGGGACAAAGAATCAATATAATTTTTTTTCAGTTGTGTTTGTTTATCTATTACAAAGTATTTGTATTTGCTTGTCTTGAGTGTGTGTCCGTTTGGTTGGTCAATTTATGCATTAAAAAAAAATCTTGTAGTAATTTTAATTTTTGTCACAATGGGAGACTATTTATGATGTTAGTATCTATTGTGCTACACACACTTTGTGCTTATACCTTAAATATACTAATGACAACAAACACGGACATATGTCTACATTTACACACCCGTACACACCTTTATAGGTGTATGTAGGAGCAATATGTCAGTAGATTACAACAACATTAATTGTACAACACATAACTAAATACTTGTATTTGACGAATGTATTTTAGCTCGTTGAAATAAAACTTCCCGTTACTACTTGGTGTTTATTTTTCAATTGGATTATAAATTTTGAACATAAATCTCTCTTCATTTCACATATCATTCATATGCAAAAATTTATTGTGATGCGTTTTTAATAAATTATTATTAAACTAGACATTTAACACTGAAAATAAGTAACAATCTACTCATTCATTCATTTTCTTGTTAAAAATCATAAACAAAATTCAAGCGAAAAGAAACAATGACGAAAATAACCTTTACTTCGTGTTTTAAATGCCTCAAATATTCCATGTTTGTATTTTGTTTGATAGCATGGGTAAGTGTATAATATTTTATAAACATTGTGCATGTTCTGTTGTCAATATACATCAATATTAGAATTTTCAAAACATTGTATTTAAAAAAGATTATTTATTGATATATTTCACTGGGGTGAAGAGTTCGTCCGAAGGTATATTCCATTGAGAAAGTGCACATTGGATTATTTGAAGTTTTAAAGTTCTACTTGTACGAATACCAGGTACATATATGCTTATATATATATATATATATATATATATATATATATATATATATATATATATATATATCATCGTGCATCACAAAGCAAAGTAGTTGAATAATTTCCATAGGTTCGGAATGAGATGATAACTCAAGAATAACACTAGATCGGGCTCTCAAAATTTCAGAGTTTGAATGAAATAAAAAATACAGTCTACTGGATTCGAACTTGGTAATTTGGTGATATAGTACTTCCTGGTAAACTAGGATTTCCTATGTTTCATTCCGTAATTGGTTCGTGATTATTCACTAATGAGTAGATCCAAAAAACAATTAAGTATATATATAGTGCTCCTTAGTCTTCAATAGCTCTTAAAGTGATATCAGTCCTTACCTAAACACATCTTGAAACAATGAAAAAACCTAGTTTATTTTAAATGAGTAACGTGTATTCCCACAACTCGTTTAATATAACTACCTCGTACATTTTTAGTTTTCATTAATAATTTTACCACAGATCACAAAGGTTGAAGTTAATAGCCAAATATAAAAAGTGGAACCGATGAAATATAAGTGAGGCTAACTACAGTGATGCCTTTTTCGGATTGCTTTAAACTTAGTTATATGCATAGGGAAGCGTTTCAACAAATGAAACGATCGGTACCCACCGTATTTTTGTTTATGTGTTCCAATAAAACATTGATTTGAATCATATCGTATTTTAAACTATGTAGGGTTATGTGCTTTGATGCCCTTATTCTGAAGGATCAGTTCTGTAACAACACATAAATGTAAAGTGATAGATTACGTTATTTGCACCATCATTGATTAGAGTCGATCAGACTTAACCCTAACATTTATTTGGGAACTAACTCTTTAATAGTTATTAAAAACCTAGAAGCATTGGACAACCGTTTCGTTCTAGTATGGGACTTCTCAATAGTACGCACCCACACGGGGTTCGAACCCAGGATCTTCGATTTCACGCGTGGACGCTTAATCTCTAGACCACTGATCCGGCATCCAGTGGTGTTATGTCAAACTTCAATCGATCCATGATCTTGATCAACCCTTCATCTATTATCTGAGCTAAATATCTGTCTCCACTCAACACGAATTGGGCTCCACTGATCACGGCTTCTCACTAGAACTCCAAGAAATCCACTTTGAAGCTAGTCATTAGTAAGCACATGATTATTATCAGAATGGGGTTTGTGAGGGTTTTAGTAATTTTAATAGTTGAAACAATCTTGAAGAAAAATCACTTTAAACTTTGTCTAATGATGAATAGTCCGACAATAAAGCACATAGATATCTATCTATGAACTATTCCTCCGATAACTTGTTATCCTTTCACGATAAATCCAAAAATTACAAAATCCTTTTATTAATAACCCAAATTTAGTAATGCTTCAAGCGTAGCTTTATGTTCCTCAAAAAGTTCCTTATTGTTGAGTCATCAGATCATAAATTATAAAATATTTCCAGATAGATATGTTTAACATAGTAAACGATGGGTATTTAATTTTAGGGTTAACTGATCGTTCGAAAATAATACATCTGGCAGAACTACTGAAGTGTATCACACTTCAGTGATTATTGATCGTAAGCCACAAACGGGCGTACATTTGACTTGAAAAGTAAATGAAATTTTCTGGTTTATTTATGATAATCCACTGAAAGAATATTTATATTGACTGCCTAAATTAAGATTCAAAGAGAAAGACAATTTTAAAAGGTTTTCTAGTTTAAAAATTTTTGTTGTGAAAAAACAATCTATTTCGATTCCCACACGAGGTACTTATACTTAATAGCTAGGAAAATAACACCACATTAATGGACCTTTGGTGTTTTTGTAATCTCGTACGGTTTAGATGATCTACACTAAATACTCTATTAAAACTGTTCATAATCCTGTCAACAGTTAAACTCATATTAATTATCATGTTAATCACCAATTAACAGTTTGTTCAGCTTTAAGGACTACTGAAGGACAACACGTTTTTATGTCATGCACATATCCATGGAAATACTAAGTCAAATCTCAGAAATTATTTAAAATATATTAGATATGTGATTAGAAATAGGACATCATGTTGAAGAGCAATTTCCTTTTTATAGTCACGTTAAATTAATCAAGGAATAATGAGATTAAGTATAAAAAGTCAGTATCTAATACTATTTTATCACTTAATGTGGAATGCTTAATAAACAAACATTATCTAACGTCAAATAAATTCTCTTCTATCTTAAATTGTGAAATTTCCAATTTTAATTTTCACGAGATTTCGATTTTTGTTTCTCAGTGCGAAACACATTTATAAAACAAGTAGTAAAGTCTTTTATTTACTTTCTGTAACTACCTATAATAAGTAGGTAATAAAAACAATAAATTGATTGTTTTAATCTCTGGAGCCTAATTTAAAAAAAATAAAGATGTACGTCTAACAAGCGATTAGCGTTTAAAATGATTTACATCAATTATGAATGTCTACTAAGTAGTTGGAAGTTATTTAAATATAGGTGTCATTCTATCTTTTTAAATGGAAATAATCACTAATATTCTCAGATAGGCCTGTATCAGTAAATGGAATTGTATTTATTCCCACTAAATGACCGTGAAAATCCAACAAAATTTCTAAATTATGCTATAATACATAAATGATTTACAGATTAAATTCTATGTCAAATTTTATTTTTATCTTTGGTTGAACTTCAATATAACCATCTTTGACAAGTATTAACAGATATTCTTCAAACAAACAAATTAACTTAGCAGCTATCTAAACATTTTGAATGACTTAATTGAACAATTCCATTAAAAATACTGATGAATCTTTTTAATCAGTGAGAAAAATTGTCTTTTCAACAATATATTTTTGATTTATGCGGGTAGTGTTAAGCTACTCATTTCATTGAGTAGTACACATATTTTCCAGTAAGTTGAACTAAAATTTGCTTAATTGGACGTAGTTTAATTATAGTTTTCGACAAATGATGTATAATATCAGAAGGGGTTTTTGTGGATTTTATAGTAATTTCAATAGTTGAGATCATGAGTCACTTGAAGCTAGAAGTTCGAACCTCGTGAGGCGGCATCGTGGATGCACACTGCTGAGGAGTCCCACAATAGGATGAAACGGGCGTCCAGTGCTTCCAGGTTTTCCATGGTGGTCTAGCTTCAATTGACTCATGATCTCAACTACTGAAATGATGTATAAGTATAGAGGATTTGTGGAGATTGCAGAATTTTCACAATTAAAATCACTAATTGATGATTAATGAACTTATTGAAGTAAGACATTAACACCATCTGATCCCGGTTCAATGGTCTACAGGTTAAGCGTTCGCGCACAAATTCGAAGGTCCTAGGTTCAATACGACCGTCTAGCGCTTCCAGGTTTTCAATGGTGGTCAAGTTAAGATCAGTTTGTGATTTCAATAGTGAAAGAACGATGTGCGAGTCCCGTTACTTGAATAACCCGGAAATAAATATGAATCAAAGTTCACCTTTTGTTAAGTTCTGTACCAACGTTCTTTTAAACAAAAATATTTTGTTCTAGCCAGCTGGTTATCTCTTGTTTTTAATCGTTTTCTATTTGTTGGTAGTCCATGATGAAAACTACTTCCCGAATATGTATCGGCAACTATTCACAAGATTAAAATAATTAATTTTGTTTCTTGTTTTAATTAAATTACAGGTTCTTGGTTTAATCACATTTATTGTTGGTATTGTGGCTCGTGTAAACGGTAGCTTTGGAATTTTAGATGCACATATACCAGCTGTTCATGCAGGTAACATAATTTGCATTATATTAAGTGGGTTTTTTTAAAGTATTTTTTCACTTCACATTTCAAACAATTCGTATTCAGCTAAATAGTTTTACGTGAATGCATTGAAATATATATTTCATTAGCAGGACACAAACAATCCAACGAACATAATTCTGGTAGCATTTAATAACAAATAAGCTTTTATTGCATAATATCCAGTAATTCACAGATATATTCTTTCTTTTTTCTGTTGGGAAATGAAATTTTTCAGAAAAATTAGACCAGGTTCAGTTTAAAAAAGTTTCTTGAGATCGATATTTTGAAATTTTAAAACTACTTTTGTATAGATTATTTCGTTATCTTTCTTTCTACGAACTAATTCTTTCTTCCTGTACTATATCCTTGTATGCAATCTTTCTTTTATATATTACCACCTCTGAATCAACTACTTTTATGAATCCGGTGTTCATCTTGTTGTGCTAATGCGGTATGGCAACCTGGACCGATGCACATATATGCCTGGTCCTACGTTGTAGCTGACTGACTGACTGACTATATTAAAGCTCACATCCTTAATGGTTATTTCTAAAGAGTATCTTGAAATGTTTTACAATACTCATATATTTCTTTAGTATCAGTTTCCATTTTATTTCTAACTTTTATTTCCAGTTGTCAGGGTTTGAGTTAGAGCTATTTGAGAAATTATTCTATTCAGAGTACTTTGTTTTATTCGGTCAGATTTCCAAATCACTTAAAAGATCTAATGAATAACAGTTATACGGGATTAGTAACTGGGTAGCAAATTTTTTGAATCTACAATGAATTACTAGGTTTTTTGTTCTATGTAAATAAATAGTTAGACTTTTGTGATATTCTCTCTCTTTTCTAAATCATTGACATATGTAATAGGATGTATTTGAACTACATCTCGAACACTTATCCGAATAGTGTTGAATAGCTCTAGCAATGTACTGTTTAACTAAAATTCATGAATTTCAAAGGCGATATTCTATATACATCTTTCAATCGTCAAAGAACTGTCATAATAAAATTATTTGAATTAGATGCGTCATCCGAGATGCTGTGCTTAATGATGATGATGATGATAACGACATAAATACTTAGTTAAGCGTATATTTAGACTTTGATCAGTCGAAACTTTAGAAATATGTCAATTAGATGATGAACACTAGAGAATCGATTGGTATTCTACTTAAACTCAAATAAAACAAATGAGTTAAAGTTAATAACATGTTTTGAAACTATTGAAACATTCATCTTCATATAAATATGCATACATATCAAACTAATAATAACTCACTGTCATATGACACGTAATTCTCTCTGTGAAACTACCAACTGAAGAGCTATTGCTAACTAGAGAGCTCTAGATAACTTTGTTGCCATGGTTTAAGATGTTCTTGAAGATTTGTAGTTCAGTACAATGATTCAGTTGGTGATATATGCCATAAGCTGGACTATCTAACTATCAAGCTTTCATTGTATTTCTAAACTACATTATCAGTAAATACTTCTACTTTTTGAAATGTGTCGATGACATTACATACACATATGAAGAAAGCTTCAGCTTCAGCTCAAAAAATATAACACTTCTGAAAGTTCACATCGATGGACACCCGTGATTTCATATTACATCCAGTCTACAATCCTAAGGTTAGCGGTTAGCCCGATATTTCCAGGTCACTGAGCTAGGATCCAAAGGTTCACATTTTCAGCTTCAGTAAACTGTACTACTCTGATCCAATGAAACTTGTAATCAAGCTACCGACTGTCGACATAGTTGTAAACTGTACGGGTCGCGCTTTCTCATGAGAATTTAGGGAAGGTTGTTATTATGATGAATATGAGAACAAACCCTTGTTTTTTTAATATTTTAATATTTCATTTAGTTAAAGTACAAAAACGAAAGAAATCAGCACTTTATAAGGATGGCTTACACTTAGATGATTAATTATTATGAACCATATGGGGACGATGAAATTGTCCATGTGACCTCAGTGTTAGTAAAGAATAACCTTAATATAAAGTACACTAACATATTTGTAATTGGAAAATCAATTAGTATCCAGCAAAAAATGATTTGTTGATTAGTAAACGAACATTTCAAAGCTCTATTAACCAATACTGCAATATGATATGTATGCAACTGAATTTAGGACATTAACGATTTAAGGACAAATATCATGCAAACTAAACGTCACCTCATATATATTTAGAGTAAGATAAATAAAACAATGGCTTTTTAAATCTTACAGTATCTACTCTTTCAAGATATGTGTGATGGGGTAACAAAGTGAAAACTAGAAGTTTTGTGTTCTTGTGTGAAGACATTTAATCTATGCATTAATGTAGTGATATGAAACTGTCAATATTTCATTTTTGCTATCAGATTTTACAAAACACTTTTTTTCCAGATTGATTTTCCTATGTAAATAATTATAAATATATTGATAAGTATAATTAAGTTTTTCAGATATTAATATTGAGATACGTTTATGTTTGATAACAGATTATATAATAGACAATGTATCATGTTCTTTGAATTGAGTTTAGAAGTAGCCAGTAGGTTAAGTGATTGGTGCTTCATTTGTTAATGGATTGTCGACAGCAATTGGTGAAAATCTGTAAATCTTGTTCTCAAAGATTTTTCACAAACAGATTATAATAAATTAATTAATGAATTCAATACTTGAGTTAGTTATTCCAATGTTTTAAATATAGTTTTCGTCATAATGAAGAAAACCTAATAACTAAATGAAATCTTTGCTTCTTGGGAGATTTTCCATTCTCCTAGATTAGATATCATTTCATTTGTATGTCATACCTGATCGCGAAAATTGCTGATTCAAATCTGAGACTGACTACTAAAGATCAAGTCATATAATGTTCTAATTCAAAGTAATATTTAACAAATGACAGAAGGAATAATTACGCAATGGATTAACGATTTGTAAATACATTCCCTTATAATGAATCTTCAACTGATGTCAAGAAAAGTATTCATACAATGAAACGTGATTTATTTAGTTATATTTTTATACATTACCCATTGATTTGTAAACTGATCAATCTTGGAAATGTCTGTAACACAATGTTTATCAATTCTATAGGTCATTAATGTATTAACGTACTTATCAATTAACGTGAATATTTTATAATAACATAATTCCAAGATGAAATGTTTTCGATTTTATCATTTGTTAACTCAAGAAAACAACTGAACAGCTAAATTAAAAAAAATTTTTACTCTAGAAATAACGTTTCATTTGATACTGAATGTCTTTGAATTAGATTATATTTCGATCTTAATATAGGTTCCGTTTACAAAAGAATTTCAATTTCCACTGGTTATGACAATATCGTTAAGTACTTAAAATTAAATTACATATTTTGTTTATAAACTAGTTTCAGATATCATATGAAGTATAGCTCTTACAGATTGATTCATTTTTAATTGTGTCAAAAAAAGTAAACAAATATTTTGATTATTTATATCAATAATGACTAATTATAAATTGTTTATCTAATAAATTAGACCATTTGAAAAATTGCATTCAAGAAATCTTTTAGTGACCCACTTCTTCCTTGGAGTTATTCAATGTCTTAGGATCCCAGATGTCATTAACATGTAAATATTATGTTCAAAAAAAGAGAATCGATAAAACGACCCAAATAGCTTGTCACGTTGATGGATAGTAAATAATCCAACAAGTGTTTGTTTTATTTTTACAAGATTTAATGGTTCAATGACGATAGTCTTTTTTTAGTTGAATTCATATGTATTGATATTATTGTTTGAAATTGTGAGTAACTGCAGTGTTGCTTGGAAATTAATAAATTCTACTGCCCTATTAATTGTTAATACTTATTCTACATTTAAAAATAGCATAAATGTAAACTATTTCTGTAGTTTTAATGTGTTGTTTACATTTATTTGGTAATTTCTTCATTATGTTATAAACAAATTCTTATGGTAAAATAACCCAAGTTACAATGTATTGTTTACAATTCATAACGTGTATAAATTACAAATAATCATCTAAGATTATAATCAAAGATAGAACTAACCCACATCGCTTGTACATAAATACACTTAAAGCATCTATTGGATACAAGATTGAAGTTGTAATGATGGGATACAGTTAATTAAAATTTATTAACTGTAGTCATAATGATAGAAAAGTCATTTTTGATGAAAATGAAAATTCTCGGGCTTCAAGAGAGAAATTACAATTAAAAAGAAGCATTTAGCTTTGCATGTTGTGTAAAAGTGGAAATAATCTAATAACTCAGGACCTAGGAAATAGAACAGATGAAATATTTTGAATTATTTCTGTACATTCAGGAAGTAATTTGTTAATTATGTTATCTTTTTTGTTTATAAAGTTCATATTCAAATATTTGAAAGAAAGGATTATTTTATATGGACCATTTTACCTACGTTTCACATTCCCTGTTACAGTATGGGTTCGAATTCCACGAGGCACATCAATTTCTTCAAGACCCTAGATATTCTTTACTGATTAGTACGAATGTTTTATAGCTTCGTACTGATTATTTCTGATCACCTGAGAGAACGAATTGACCACTTTGACCGATAATGAGACCCAATACACACTCATTGATAGATGTAATATGATATTGGTTGCAATCGAGTGATCGTTTCATAAAATATTGAAACTGTTTGATTCTATGAGATAATGCAAATCAGAGTAAATCTTGAATCTTTACAAGTTCCTTTCCATACTGAAGAGTTGAACGATGATGCTTAATTATTAGGTGGCTGTCACTTTAACTGGTAACAGTGTGGCTCCTTTACAAGTAAAGATATAGAGATACTTTGACTAAGGAATTCTCCAAGGAAACCAAATCAATGGCTGCTATATTTTCACGAACGTTATTAATCTAAACAGATATTTGCTCTACGTTTTGGCAAACTTCATTTTTCCTTTCGTTTTTCATTGTAATATCTAGGTGCTAACTTACTTATTGCTGTCGGGTTTTTCATTATGATAATGGGTTTCTTTGGTTGTTGTGGTGCCATTCGTGAAAGTCAATGTTTACTGTTTTTAGTAAGTTTAACTTCTTAAAATAGTCAAATTATGGTTTGCTCAAAATATTTTATTTTTGAAACTGAATATATATATATAGATATATGTATTATTGGTGATCGCTCAGTACATTGGATTGGTTGAAGGTAGACAATAACATGATTGGATGTCGACCCAGTGGTCTATAGGTTAAGCGTTATCGAGCTGGGTTGATGAATAGATGAGTCATTACCTATTTCACTTGTATTTCTAATAAGCTATGGGAACTATTGTTTTCATTTATGTTGTGACCACTTTTGAAACATATGGCTATATAAGCCTTTAGAATGTTAAGTGTGATCACATTGTAATACTCCAACTCACGATGATGTTTTGGCGCTGATTTTATAAATGATCTAAATGTCAAACACCACATGAATATCTATTTTGAAAACCATATGATTAGTTCTATTGCCAGATTGGCTAGAACAAAATTATACATTTTCATGGACGAAATTTTATCACCAACTTCTCGTTAATTTTCCTGGTGGAATGAATAAGAAACTTCCAACTAAGGTATCATCTTATTTTCAAAAACGTTCCCCATCCTACGATCAAGACATAAATAGCTAATATTATTTTTAAAGTATCTATAACAGTTAAGTTAAAAACTAACCTCCTTAAAGAAATACCATTTATTGAATTCAAGAGTTGGCAAATATCACTGAAGTTAATCAACTTAAAGTAAATAATAGGTCCTTAATTTTCTATCATCCCAATGTTCTAGCCAGTCGTGCTTATCCTGAACAATTTGTATGAAGGGTTTATGATGATATTCATGTTTATGCCGCTAGGGGTAATCGAATTAAGCAAGCATTCAATTGATGTACAGTTTGTATTCCAGTACTTATTATATATATTGGTAGTGATAAATATATAATTGTTGCAAGGGACTTTAATTAAGCCAATGGTTAATAGAGTCGTAGTCAAATTGATTGTCATTATTATTTATTGCTGTACTTAGATATATAGAATATCACTTAAAACTACAGATGTTGATTAAAATATTTAATATCTCTTAAGGCATACCTGTAATTATCGTTGATTTTTGCGAAAGCAAGGAAATGTGCAAATTACTTTTATCCTTCCTAACTCAATTGGTTAAATATCTAAATTATTGTTAATGCTAATTAAATTTTAATATAGGCTTCCAGAACTTCAAGGTTGCATGTAACCATACAACTACTTCTCATGATTTCCATAACTAAACTAAACTTGGGAGTAAACGTTTTGTAGTATTTTTCGCCTCTCAATATTTTTCTTGATTCAAGTTTTCGCGAGTTTAGACACCGATTGTGAAGACAATTTTTTTACGAGGGATCTAGTGCATTAGATTTGACAATGACAAAAACAATTGAGAATTTCACATCGTGTACTACTTCTCTAGATTAAGAGATAAACAACAACTAGCCAATGCACGTTGAGCAATGTAAATTTTTAGTACACTTTCATGTTTGTTTATTCCAATAAATAAGGAGATTTTGTATTAATATTCCTTTTAATTCTTTCATTTATTTGCATAGTTCTTTGCATTTGTATTCTTTTGCTTCACTCTGTTAATGGCAGCTGGTTTATGGGCTGTTGCATGGTCGTCTAAAGTAAGTTATTTTGTTTTATATCATTATTTATGTATGCTATCAGTATTGGGATTTATGGAGATTGTAGTTGAAATCACCACCATTGAAAACCTAGAAGCACTGGACGACCACTTCGTTCTAAAAATGGGACTACTCAACCAACAGTGAGCATCCACAATCCCACACACAGAACTCGAACATCAAGACCACTTGTCCCGCATCGAGTGATATTAATGTCTATGATCTAGCTCAACCTTCCATCTATTGTCTGAGATGGATAACTGTCTCACATCCGACATGGATTGAATTAAAGTGGTCACGGCTTCTCCTTTGGATTTCAATAGTAGTCTAGCTTAGAACAACTCGTGATTTCAACTGTGGAAATTACAAATTGGTTAAAATTAATTACCTGAATCATTTCGCTTGTAATCAATGGTCTATAAGTATCCTTCTATTTAGAAAAACTTCAAAAGGTGGTATTTCAAGAAACCAGGCAGACCTGAACTGAATATTCCCATCTAGAGATCTAAAAAATATAAATTAATCAAAGAAGTAATTGTGACCAACATCACAGACTGACTTTATCTATACAATTACCCGAAACTTAGAAGTACTAGACAGTTGTTTTGTCTTGATATGAAAGTTTTCAACAATGTATACCTACGACTTCGCGAGGACCAGAGCTAGTAATTTTGGCGCCTGTTGTTTTCAGGTCACTGAGTTAATATTAAACAATTCTCATTCCTAACTTACACGAATACTGTCTATTATCATCAGTGAAACCTGCTTGACTTCCAGGATGAATGAATTCCACTGGTCGGGGCTTCTAACTAGGACTTAAGGAATACTTTTCAAAGTTGATCATATATATATAATTATATAATTATTATTATCAGTGTAAGAGTCGATTTGTGATTTAATTTAACGCTTTAAATATGATTACGAGCTAACTGTACTGAAGAAATTATACATTTTTAAAAAATCAAGTGATGTGCCAATTATTAGTATCAATGGCTAGACCATAATGGACGAACCAATCACGTATAAGATAACAGGTCTCGGATTTTGGCGCTAAATTCATTCACCCATTTGGAGAAATAGAGTTTCGGTATCGTAGCTGATGCCAGTTCGTGATGAAAACCCGAAATCTAATTCCTAACTTTAATCATCAACTGTAAACTATAATTCTAATTCCTCACACGGCTTTATAACCCTCATTTGTTCCATGGTTATTAAGTGGACACTCTCAAGGTCGGTCTAGTGTCGCTCAGAGGTCGTCCATAAATTATAGTCTCACCGTTTCAGTTAACAAGTGTATAACTTAACAAGTTGTAAGAATAGTTTTATTTTAAAATTTTATCTAGTAATTAAAACAAATACAAATCGCATAATGATTAATAAGTAAGTTAATAGTTTTTATTAGAAAGTCAATTGAATTGATCACTCATTCAGAATAAAAGTAAGAAAATTCAAATCAGCTTTTGTCATAAATTGAAATCAATTAAAGAACTATATACATGATATAAGGACTGATTGAATAGTTATATAATATATTTGAAATCTCCCAGCATTTCGTTCTGTATCCAAGTCTGAAATTGTAACTGTTTATAATAGATTTGAATTTTTTTATTGACTTATCTCTAATTTTTATGCATTATTAATTATGAAAGTAAGTCAAGAATTAATACAGTTGGTGAAATATTTAAATAAAAACGTAAATATGCCTATGACACAGGGGTGGTGAATGAACAATTGGTTTCTATGTATTCGATGTTTTACAATGAAAATAACAGAATATCATTAGAAAAACTATAGTGTATTTCTATGTGAAAATAATTTATAAACAGTACATTTAACATAAAATTCGAGTTATATGTTGAATCATATCTGTATAGGTCTTATGTAAAATTATTAAGTTATGTATACCTGTTAAAATAAAATAATTAGCTTAAAACTAATATCTTTTCTTTGTTTTAATTGATTGATAAAAATTGTACAATTGATTACTTTAGATATCTAGAGTATTCAGAATCTTGATAACAACTGCTCACTAATAAATTATATATTATTAAAGTAAAAAAAATCAATTAAATATGTCAACATATTTAGATCAAAGTTTCTTAATACCTAGATTATAATGGATCAAAGAAATTTGAATATATTTCATCACTATCGAAGATATTTTTAAGCGATCAACAAAATCGATCATGGAGAAAGTTAGCATACAGTAAGGTGTTTGAAATTTTTCTGGTGTATCATCAATTTATAAAGATAAAGATATATACATTAGTTACAAGTACAGAGAATCATGAAGATCATGTAGTAAATTGTACATATAAGTTACAATATATTCACACATAAAATCAAAATAATTAGTATGCAAACAAAGTTATCTTCGCTACATGAAAATAAAGAATCGGAAGTATGTTATTTTTCGCTTTTGAGTTGTCATTTTTTTTTATCTGACTAATTAAGTCAAGCATCTGTCATTGAGTAACCGCATATTGGTCAAAATTTAAATTCAGTCAAATGAGCTTATGATGTGCTTATTTACTTTTTTTCATGTACTAGAGTTATTACGAAAGTTATGGTTTATTGTTTTAAAATTGATAAGAACATTAGCTTTCAATGAGACTTGAAATTTAGCTGATTTTAAAAAGTGGTCGATTTGATTTTTCTATTCATTAAATCTCATGCATCTTTCTAGCATAACTTTATCACTAAGATATGTGGCCGATTTTTCGGTTGAATTCAACTATTAAATTACTACAATTTCCACAAAACCCCTCGCTGATTACAATGACCATATGTTTACTAGTGACTGTTTCCAAGATGTATTTCCTGGAGTTCTAGTGAGAAATGGTGAGCAGTGGAGTTCAACCGAGTCTGTTGTGAGATAATAACTCACTGAAGTCAATGGTGGACGGTGGCGCAATTTTGCGGATTGGTTGGAGTTAGACATTAACACCATTGGATGCCGGCTCAGTGGTTTAGAGTTTAAGCGTTCGCGTGTCAGACCGATAGGTTCTGGGTTTAAATCTCGTGAGGCAGGATCGTAGATGCGCACTTCTGAGGAGTCCCACAATGGGAAGAAACAGCCATCCAGTGCTTCCAGGTTTTCCATGGTGGTCTAGCTTCAATTGACTCATGAATTCAACTATTAAATTACTACGCTGAACACAAAACCCCTCTCTGGTTATATATATATATATATATATATATATATATATATATATATATATATATATATATATATATATATATATATATATATATAATTCTACTAATAATAATTATTATTATTTAAACAATTGAACAATAGCAACGTTTGTGCATTTAAACATATTTCTTAACATTACTTATTAAAATATATAAATGTATTTTGGATTCGTTTAATAATAATAATAATAATAATAATAATAATAATAATAATAATAATAATAATAATAATAATAATAGTCTTATTCCACTACTTTCAACATGTAAATATATCAAATGTGATAACTCATTGAGGTTATTCAACCGTCTATTCGTGGCTAGGGAAGTTATCAAATTGTGTTTCAGTCTATAAAATTCGTTATTTTGATTTAAAGTGAAAAATGTATATCAACTTTACAGGTCCTTGATTAAATATTTACTCAAGAAGATATGAAATTTATTAACAGTTTAATGTATACTGTTGAATAATGAAAAGATTTCTATCAATGTATTAGAAGTATTATTATTCTGATATATAACGTTTCATTTTCATAGGTGAATCATTACATGTATCGTTATTTAGAAGAACAAGTGACCCGATATCGTGAAACGGAACCAGAAAATGAAAGTACAAAATTAATGGATTTTATACAAAAGAAAGTGAGTTACATAAATTGAATATAGATTGACATACATTTTAAATTAATGGTATCTATTTTTTGTTGTATTTTTACATATAAAACTTCCTGTTCAATCAATCTTAGAAAAAAATTATAATAAATGTATCTGAATGGTAAATGACTCACCAGTTTACGTTAAAACTTCGTAAGTTTCAAAATAATGATTTCATTTAGAGAAATGTTGATAGCAAGAAACATTTGTTAAGTATCTCTTTTTGGTTCAAGACTACCGAACATTGTAAATACTTAATTCATTGTGACTTTAGATTGTTGACTTTTAGATCTATTGAAGAGTATGTTATCTCTTTACTATAAGATCAGACTTGAATGGTTCACTATACATACACATCAATTTAGTTTAAAAATGTAGATCACTGAGTTCGTGATCATTGACCTAATTGTAGTGTACAAAACGATATGATTGAATGTTCATGTGTCGGAAGTGCATATCACTTTCCAGTACTACAATTCAAAATACTCTTTAATTCTAAATAATTCTTCACATAACACCAATCTCTTATGAAACATATCTTAGACTAATCAGTTCCTTATAAAATTTCTGTTTCTTCAATTGTAATTATTTTTTTATGAAACATTTGGGTGTTTTTCCAATGGTATTATGCTCTTTGAACTAGATAATCTGATTACAGAGCTTTTATTGTCGTTCTGGACAACATCATTCGTATCTAATTCACGTGGAAGCTAATTTCTCACTTATTCGACAAATGTTATGTTAGTTTATTCTGATAGTGTTGCTTGTGATACATTACTTTTATCAGTTTTATTGTTTTATTTGTTCTTTACTTCATGAAAGCCCATTAGTTAAGCCTTTTACCACAGACAACATAACATAACCCAAAAGCATCTACCTGACTTGCAAATCTTCATAATGATTCAAGGTAGATGAGAGAAAGTCTTAAACATAGTTTTTATGTTGATTGATTAGATTTCATAAATAAGAAAGTTGATATTCGTTTCTTTCCACGACAGATAAGAAGCCACATTAACCAGTCTTGAAGTGAAAGCCATTACTACTAAACTATTTAAACTATCATTACCCTCTTATAGGACTAAAATGTTTAGTTTACAAATACTGTAAATGCTTTTTGTGTTCACTTAACTCTATCGATCAATTTATCATTGAATATATTTGTTTGCGAAAATTCTTTACAATGGACTTAATGAACTTATTCCATGAACCATTTTACAATTTAACGGTTACATACATATTAATTATTAGGATAAAGTTAGTATTCTATAAGTTATATTAAAAACGAATATACACTATATGGACTTTTGAATAATTGATTAAATAATTACTTCTCAATTCCTGTTTTGTAATTTCACGAAACATTAAGTAATACGAAAATCATCTTATTAACATATACATGTGATGTTAAATCATGTGATAATAACTTCATTAACATATTTGACATAGAAAGCGTTTGTACTAAGAAATAAAGATTCTAAACTTAGAAATCTAGTCACTTACTATTATGTTCACCGCTGATGTTATTTTGTTGAAAGCGATCTACCGGTGTCTCTGGGGACAAGTTTCATGATAGTTGGCATTGGTCCCGATCGAAGCTGCTACCTCGACGCGGTGGTCGGGCTTCCCTATCGTGATGACCCGACCGAGCTATATTGGCTGGAACATATGTTCCTGTAGGTTCTACCATGCCAAGCAGGTCGATTAGTGAACGGTAAGACTAAAAGCAGCAACTCAAGGTCTGAGGGCGAAGTCGTACTGCTGACTGTAGAGGGGTGTGACAGCAGTAAGGTGTTTCCCTCGGACAACCAGCATCTGCAGCGATGCTGCCTTCCCTCAAGGAGGGGTGAGGTTAGAAAAGGTCGACCCTAAAAATGCACACCTCACCTTACCTCACGGATTTCCGTCTCCGGCGCTAAGGCCCTTTGAAGAACGGAGCTAACACGTCAAAAACCTCCCACGAAAAGGCCGTGCGCGACCGGCCTCAAGCAGTTGTCCCTTGGGCTCTGCGGTCACGCTCCCAGATCGTTAAGACCAACACTAATCTAATTTTCTTTTCAGGTTCCTCAAGACATACCCTTCCACGGTGTGGGCAGCCGGAAAGTGACACCAGCCCTCATACCTGTAACAGCGCACGAGACCAAGTTGGTCAGATTCAAATCCTTCCTACACCTCCTAATACCTCTCTTATCTCCATGACCAACCCTCCTCACGTCTCTTTATCACCTCGCACCGCTAGGGCAAACGATTCGAGTACGCGGAACGCTATTCCTGGTCTCCCGAAACCACGCTCTTAACTACACGTAGGAGCTTTTAACGTACGAACACTTTGCCAAATAGGACAACAGGCTTCCTTAGCTAGGACTTTAGAATCTCGCGCCATTGATGTGTGCTGCGTCTCCGAAACGCGCATACAGGATCCGAGTAGCGTCATTCATTTGACCTCACCATGCCAAAATAAAGAACCGACTCGATTTACGCTTCGTGTATCTGGAAGCCCTGACTCTGCTTCCCGTGGCTTCGCCGGCGTAGGTATAGCATTGAGTTCTAGGTCAGAACTAGCTCTCTTAGAGTGGATCCCAGTAGACAGTCGTTTGTGCGCTGTCCGACTAAACAGAACAATAAGGATCCGAAAAGATAGGGACACTCGTCGTTGCCTCTTCGTCGTCTCTGCCTATTCTCCCACTGACTGCAGCGCAGATGATGTAAAAGATGAGTTTTACAGAAAGCTCTCCGACCTTCTCCGAAAAGCTAGGCGCTCGGATGTAGTAATAATGGCCGGTGACTTTAATGCTCAAGTAGGTAAACTAAGCGATAGGGAAAGACACCTGGGTGGGTCTTATAGCATAGTGGCTCAAAGAACAGATAATGGCGACCGTCTGTTGCAGCTATGCTCAGATAACCGCCTGTTCCTTGCAAATACTAACTTTAAGCATAAGGAAAAACATCTTTTAGCATGGAGACCCCCTAATTCGTCCCAACGTAGGACCCAAATAGATCACATCGCTATCAGCCACCGATGGAGGGGCTCGATAGAAGACTGTCGCTCATTCTGGAGCACATGCATTGATTCAGATCATGCTCTAGTACGAGCGCGTATCTGTCTGCATCTTACTGGACGTAGGAAAGGCGCTGCAAGGAAACCTCTTAGGGTCTTACTTAATGATAGTCAAGCTAAGTGTATATTTCAGGAACAACTAGGAAAACAGTTAGGCAGCCATGTGTGTGATGCCCACCCCGAGGCAGCATGGAATGATATCCGAAAAGCTGTGGAAACAGCAGTGATATCTGCTAGTACGGTAACCCGTAAGGTTAGGGAGCAACACTGGATCTCAGCAGCATTTATCGTACTGATAGATGCTCGGAAACTCATTCCACCTGGCTCTGAACACAATGAAGAGCGGAGTCAGCTTAAGCGCAAGCTGACAAGAAGTCTACGCAATGATGGTGAACAGTGGTGGGTAGGGAAAGCAAGAGAGATGGAAAAGGCAGCAGCAATAGGTAATAGCAGACAATTGTTCAAACTTGTTAAGGAAACCGGAATTAGGAACCCGACCGTTAGCGAAACAATCTCAGAGAAAGATGGACATATCATACATTCTCAATCCAGGAGATTGGATCGATGGGCAGAACACTTTAAGGATCAGTTCAACTGGCCTTCAGCCACACTTCGGTTTCCCACGATCTCCAGTCAACCTGAATGGCAAGTTAATGTAGGTCCTCCGTCTCTTTACGAAGTTGAAAAAGCCATAGGAAATCTGAAGCGAGGGAGAGCAGCAGGCCCTGACAGGTTTACTCCTGAGATTTTTAAGGATGGTGGTTCAGTATTAGCAGTGGGATTAGCTGAGGTCTTAGGTAGGATTTGGGAACTGGACGTAATCCCATCTGACTGGTCTCAATCACTGATTGTGCCAGTCTATAAGAAAGGACAAAAGTCCTCTTGTGACAATCACAGAGGAATCAGTTTGACTAATATAGTGTCTAAAATATTAGCTTCAATAATACTTCGACGCCTAACCAAAGGTCGTGAAGAGCAGATTAGAGAAAACCAGGTTGGTTTTCGACCTGGACGTGGTTGTATAGACCACATATTCACACTACGTCAGGTTCTAGAACACAGACACACATTCAGACGCCCCACAATGGTAGTATTTCTCGACCTTAAGGCGGCATTCGACTCTGTTGATCGTGAGGTTCTATGGCAGTGTTTGTCACAGAAAGGAGTACCAAAGAAGTACATTAACCTTATAAAGGCTCTCTACTCGAACACAACTGGTAGAGTGAGAGCTTATGGCGAACTGTCATCAGAATTGATTACCTCAAGTGGTGTTCGTCAGGGCTGTCCACTCTCCCCATTCTTGTTCAACTTTGTCATTGACGTACTTTTAGAGATAACACTCTCCTCATCTAGATTTCCAGGGGTTGAACTTCTACCGGGAGGTTCACTTGTTGACTTAGAATATGCAGATGACATAGTTCTGTTTGGTGAAGACGCTGACAAAATGCAGAGTCTTCTGACCACTCTAAGCAACAATGCAAGCATGTTCGGCATGCGATTCTCTCCCTGGAAATGCAGAATGTTGCTTCAGGATTGGGTTGCATTGACACCCGAACTAATGATAGGGAGTGAAGTAATTGAGTGTGTCGACCGCTTCACTTATCTTGGAAGTCTCATCAGCCCTTGTGGTTTAGTGTGTGACGAAATCTCAGCACGGATACAGAAGGCTCGACTAGCTTTTGCCAACTTGCGTCATTTATGGCGTAGGCGAGATATCCGTCTATCAACCAAAGGACGGGTTTACTGCGCAGCAGTTCGTTCCGTCCTACTTTATGGCAGTGAAACATGGCCGGTAAGAGTAGAGGATATTCGTAGGTTACTAGTATTCGATCATAGGTGTTTTCGAAACATTGCTCGCATATCATGGGACCATCGAGTAAGTAACACAGTTGTTAGGAAACGGGTACTAGGTAATGATGGCAAATCAATTGATGAAGTAGTGAAACTTCATCAGTTGAGATGTCTGGGACACGTGTTACGTATGCCCAACGACCGACTGCCTCGACGTGCTATGTTCAGTGGTATTGGAGTAGGTTGGAAGAAAGCTAGGGGCGGCCAAACCAAAACATGGCACAAGTCCATGAAGTCACTGACATGTGGACTGAGTCATGTTGGTAGGTGTAGACTACCTGGTTGGGGACCGCGAGATGACAGCAACCGATGGTTAGAGACCCTGAATGACATGGTTCAAAATCGTTTGCATTGGCGCAGGTGCATCCACCCTTTGTGTTCTCCCAAACTCTAATCTTCTGAATTCTTCATGTCCCTTTTTTCCTCTTTCCAAATTTATTTCACTGTATTATACTCTTTAAATAACATCTCCAAACCCTAATCTTCCCGATTACTGCTTATACTCTTATTACCCCTACCACTACAGGATTTGAATCGACAAGTGCATCTCTGTGCTAATGTGGTGTGGCAACTCGAACTGATGTACGTACGTACGAAGTTCTACGTTGTTACTGACTGACTGACTGAGTTGGCATTGGTCAGCAAAACAATATTTACAGTCTCTTCGGAATATTGGAATGCGTGTCAGATAATATCAATCAAGCAATGCCTGACTTCCTGTAGAAATAAAACATCTACAGTGTTGAGGGAACCAATGTTGATCCGAACTATGGAATAAATAATCATGTAATTGGTTAATACTCAGTAGCTGAGTAGTCCACATTTTCGGTTGCCCCTAACTGAAAAAACTACACCTCTCAGTAGTCAGTTAATAATCATCAGTATAGAGGAAATTTCTTCGGGCGGCGTGAATACCTCAGTGAGATTACAGGCATACCTTGCTGACGAGTGACAACTATCAAGAAACCAAGTTCAAGCAATATTTCCTGTCGACTACCTCCAACCACCACCTTAAAGTTGTAAACTGTCTACTAAACTAATTTGGTCAGATAATATAACTACATTTTTAACCCAACGATTCATTGTTGCAAATAGTCTAGTTTTATGTGCTAGTCCCTGTCTTATCAATAATACTACTATTGGCCGGTTCTGAATCCAACTACTGAAGAGACATCACTCTCTCTAATGTCGGAACAGGCCTTTGTATTAACATTGAACAAGTATGGACTTTAGATGAAGTAAGGTGTATACACAAACATTCATTAAAAAGGGTCATTGACGTTTTCCATAAATAAATTTAGGGATCCAGTGGTAATCTGTAAGTCGAATAAAATAATAAGGAGATAATTTAATGCGTCGATTAATATACCTGTCGAATGATTATAGTTTCGTGATCGCTACGTAGATTTTATCCTGTTTTCCATAGTGAAGTTCAGTCTTATGTTGATTACTTCCCAATGATTCTTTAGTTAACATTAGATTATAAGATACAAAAACGGTTTCAACTAGGTTAGTTCAAGATGTCATTGGATTTCTTGGATAAAAGTGTTAATTTTGACTAGTATTTTGAGTAAGCTGAGACATTGTGAAAGAAATGAAGATGATGTAACAGCCCTAGGAATAATGTATACATATATATGTATATATATTATTAACTAGAGCACTACTTATGTCTTATCCAGTTGTAGACTAATCATTCGTCGGATAATGTTAAGATGAGACGAATACGTGCGGTTAACAAACTTTAGAAGCTTAGTTTTTTTAAGAGTAGGTTAGTGCTTATATTGTTAATGTACACTTTTTAGGCATTTAGTTTATGGGATTTCTACAGTCTCCTAATTGTAAACATCCATTTGACTTTTAACTGTCGTTACATCTTTTCCTTTTCCAAAATCATTGTAATTTAATTAAAAACCTGTAATTCACATTTGTTCTAGTTAGGTATGCATCTTGATTTCTTGATTATGTTGTGTTTTGATCCCACAATTTATGTATATCATACATTTTATTAAGCTAATATGTAAAGGGGGCACAATGGCTATTTATTTTTCGTGTCCTGGTTGGGGCTTCGGGACCTAGAAATTCTGGACAGTTTGATAAGCATTAGCATATCAGATCACTGAGTCAGAAGGCATCAGTGTTATTTATTCAAACATAGCTGACCAGGGTTATATCAAATAAGGTTTACTGTCTTTCCGTGTTCACCTCCATTTTTATTTTTCTCATAATCTAATAAGTTGTGTATCCTGTAACGAGTTTTAAGTCCAGTTTCTGGTTCGTAACATAAATAGGCAATATTCAATGTCGTCATACATAAACAATGTGAAAATCTAGCTTTTCAAAACATTTTCTGTCTTTAAATTTAGAGCGGTTAGAAATTTCAATTGTAAGATAAAAGGCTATTTTACTGGATTATCGATGACAATTCGTAGTGGAATCGATTACGCACGTTTCGCCCTATGTAGGACTCATCGGTTACATGAATTGTCATTTCACTTTTGTTAAATTACACCATGGCAAGTTCTTTTGGTTAATGGATAAATAATATTTGTCCACTTTACTGATAATTATTATACAGACGGAGTGATCAATGACTGTATGTGATTGCACGGTCGACGGGTTATCTAGAAAACTTAGTTACAAAAGTACGGATAATACTGATTCATATTTATAAAAATATCTTGTGTCCTAGATACAGATTAGTTACAGATAAGAATATGTGAACAAGTTGTTGCCTATCTCATTTACTACTCCCATGTAGATAGTTATTTTTTATGCAAAATACGATTTTATTGCTTAGTATTAAACCTGGATTTTAATGATTTTATTATCTGTCAAATATAATTTCCATGTTACACTTTTAAGACAGCATGCAGGAATCTTAGTGAATTTATTTATTGATAAAATCACTTTGGCTTACCATTATGAAATATATATCTATTTGGGATTTGCTATAATTAGTTATGATCACGTGATCACAATGAAACTTGATTAAATGTTTAATAAAGATCATACCGCATTAATGATCTAGATTTTGTTGTAGTAACAATTGCAGCCTGAATGGTAGAAGAACAAGACGGTTGTCTAGTTTGATTTTAAAATGCAGTCATTTTATAATATCACAGATAATGGTATGCTCAAGGCTATTGGGAACACAATTAGCTGGTAAAATAAAATATTATTCAGCCAATCAAAATCAACTGTTCAACGCGATTAACAATAAAATCAATACTGTTCAGATGACTAGGTAGGGGTATCATATAAGTTGATTTTTACTCTAAGTGAATAATAGTGAGTCATTTATCTTGAATATCCAGCATGTATCCGAGTTAGTGAAATGTTATGGAATCTGATTGACCTAAAATTTGAATGTTTTAACGACATATCGTTGGACCAGATATCAGTTATTTTATTACTATTGTTTTTTATGCTTGACTTAAATGTATATTGCCAATGTATTTGAAAGTGTTAGAGAAATCGTGTCCAAACTGCAGCTCAAGCGAAAATTATTTCATTTTATGCTAATTTAGGAAACATGACAATGGTGGACTAATACATTTACTATGTACCGTTATTTAGTCACTAGTTTCTGGATGGAAATATTGGAATGAAATGAAAGTGTATTGAAATAGATCACAATTAAATGACTAGTTAACTGAATTAGTGTATTTATTATCACGCCTACTGGTACATACCTCAAATGATGATTGAAGTCATCAAAAGATCAAATCCCGACGGTATTTAAATCTGTCAAGTTTATAATAAATTTATCAGCCAACATCATGTGAGTAAGAGTATCTTAATAGATGATGAAAAAACTGAAAATCTAAGCCATCGAAAAAATATCAATGCAAGTTTCTTTCATTTCTGAATATCTCATAGTTTTCCTTGCAAAATAATACAAAGTATTTCACAAATGTTGATTAACACGATGATAAGTACAAATTTTAATCTGTTCTCTTGGTTAAAACGCTTGGTTTATTTCCTTCTTTCTGTAATTCAGGTCAAATTGACCTATTTAACTCGTAGGTGAAAGTTACTTAGAAGACCTAAACAATTTTGAATAAATCGACGGTTTGATTTCTTGTTCATAATCACATTCTTACCAAAAATTTAACAAAGAAAAGAAATGTTTCCAGATTTAATTTATCAAGTAGATTTGTTAACTATGTGAATAACTTTCAATCAGCCAGCTACAACGTATGACCAGGCACATATATACATCAGTACAAGTTGCCACACCTCATTAGCACAACAAGATGAACACCGAACCCATAGAAGTAGTTACTTCAATAGTGGTAATATACAAAAGAAGGATTGCATTTCTTAACATAATATTTTAACTTCATTTACCTACAAAATAAAGAGAATTTGTCCGTTGAGTTATAAACTCACTAGCGGATAACCTTCAGCTGGCTCTCTCAATTCACTCATCAAATAGTAATATCCAGTTTATTCTTTCCTTTGAATATAAAATGTAAATTATTATTAATGTTTTACTGTTTGTTCTCGGTTTTTGTTTTGTTTCTTAGTTCGGTTGTTGCGGTGTTACTTCAGCAGCTGATTATGGCACAAGATCCCCACCTAAAAGTTGTACAGTAACAAAATCTATCCAGTCATATTCTAGGGTAAGTTATCTTTCTTTTTGTTGTTGCTTTAAACCGACGGATATTTTTATTTCGAAAATATATCTCCAGTTGTAAAATAATTTCTATTAACCTTAACCGATATAAACACAAATTATTTCGTTTAACATCGGTCGACTAAACTGATTGACTAATAATATATACAACTTTAGTGGTTAAATAACCTTTAAGATAAAATTGGACTGAAACTAATGAACTTTTGTCAACTTTTAAAAACGATTAGGCCTTCGGTGATTTCTAATTTTGAACGACTGGGATTCGATTACAAACAGGATACAATTTGAACTTGATAAACCAGGAGACTAGCACACATCACTTCAGCAGTTATCCCGATACAAAAGGATACAGTGACAAGTTAGGGGTACAGGAGAAAGCTTACCATTCAACAAAATCAAATTAATAACAATTTATATATTCCGAAAATAATAATTACAGAATTCACGCCAGTTTACAGGCATGATCAATTTGATATAAATAGTAACATTAGATGCACAGAAAAAACATGTGATAGAAGAAAGATTTAAGTATACTAGTTCATTAATTGTTTAGGTAATACATGTATTACAAAGATCCAATTCATCAGCCGGAAACTTTGAATTTTGCTTAAATGGACAGTCTGTTGATTTATGAATGGTGTAATTAAGGTCATTTCGTGTGCCAGATCGAATTATTGATAATTATCTACAACTAGAGAAATTAAAACGAAAACAGATCACGGAACAACAAAACAGACTTAGAGGTCTGTTTGAATATCTGTTCTGTAAACGACAAGTCTTGGGAGTACCTAAGTCTACTACTGTATGTAACCTAGATAACACTTCTCCATTTATGGTAATGTCTAGGTTGAGTGATGTATCACCAAAGCATATCCATCCACATTTAGCCGTATTAAGCTCCAGTTGCCATTTTAAGCACCACCGTGCTACCTTGTTAAGCTCCATGCTGATGCAATTTTGCATATTTTTCAGCTCATATGGAGAAAATGAATATACTACTTTTAAGTGACTATGTACATATAACAACAAACATGCCCCCCTCAAATGCACTGATACGTCCGAGGGTGGAAAGGGTTTGCTTTCCCCCTCAACATGCTCTCACATGACCATGCGTATACAGCCACTGTAAGGGAAGTCCTACCCACTGCCTTCTCGTGGTGGGGGTTTTGTTTACGAAATTGAGAGGACGAGAATCGAATATCTGGCGCTTCATCCTGTTCGATGGGTATGGAGGATCCACCTAGGGAAGTTGGAAAATCCTGATTCCAAACTAATAGTGCACATAAGTTTCAGGATTCTGAGGGGACAAATGACGTATGAACTTATAGTTGGTCACCGACTACCATGGGATTGCATCTCCTAAAGTTGATCCACCGCTAGTGGATTAGACCTCTAGGCAAAAGGTTTGGGGTGTGGCCTCCTAAGGAAACAACCTGCTTCTGTTCGGGCACCCAGGTAGTATTCCAGCCCTCACATAAATCGAATGATTTATGTGGCGCATATATATTTGGTGCCTTCTTATACCAATGTTTATGTGCTTAAATAAAATAGCAACAAACATGACCTTGGATTGAGAACAAGAGTGAAAATAACCGATCAGATTACAACAGAGACCAATGAAAGAAAATATGAATTTAAAAAATGTTATCGTTATTATCTGTATAAGAAAAAATTCAAGTTTATTGACAAAATCCTCCGTCTTCGTATCATTGTTCAATACAGAATACTACATTTTGTATAGGATTCTTAAGAAGGTTATACATTCATTGACATAATCCTCAGAAGCGTTGAACCTACCTAATATTTGTGAGGGAAATTCGAAGGAAAATTATAAAACTCTGGATTTTTGTTCTTGTTGTATGAATCAATATGTATATTTTTAACATTTACCGATTAAACAATCAGTTTTATGTTATTTCTACATAGCCTACACTGTAAGTTCTCTTCCAAACAAAAAAATTATTATCATACATTCTGTCTAGTTAATTGACTGATTAATATATAACTCAGCCACATGTCAAACTTCTGTACTAATATTCTAACTAGCGTGTTGGAAATATGTGAATTTTGTATGGGGCTTTTGATTGTTGTGAGTACAATATCGGACTAAGAGTGCTCAGCATTATTGGTGTAGGTAGAAAGTATAATAATAATGCCTTTTGAGAATGTGAAATAATCAAACGGTGAATTTCAGTGTGAATCGATTAAAATTTATTTATCAGTTGTTTGTCTGAGTAACCATAACTCATCACAGAAAGTTACCAGAGAACTTACTGACAAAGTCAGCCTTCAGACTTCTCACTAGGTAGCCTTAGTCAAAAAGTAGTAACAGATCTCGTTTTACTTTGAATAATTAAACCAGTAACCAAAATATTAAGTTAAAATAAAGGTGGATGACCTTCACTGATCAAAAAATAAGCCAACTTGTTATGTAAATTGAGTAGGATGAAAGAAAATCAATGTCTGTTGTTAGGTCACATGATGATGGAAAAATATCCAATCATGTCAACTATTTTTCTAACGCATTAGAGTAACGAATTGAGGATAAAACAAAGATTGATTAGAAATCGTAAATCAAATACGTAATGATGAACTCGATTTTAAAGCAAAGTTTTGTATAAGAGCTAATGATGTAGCATGTCTGTGACTATCGAACTAGATGAGTCGAGCCTCGAACTTGTGGCAAATAGCTCAACCATTTAGCTAAAACTTCTCATTAAGCGTAATAGTCTAGTTGAAAAATGGCTGGCATCCATCTCGAGGAAGGATTTTTATTCTTATAAAACTTCTGCGTTGAATATTTTTTATATAAATTTCATTTCGAATAGCTTAAGTGTGGAAAACTTGTACTATCTATTTAGAGTAGCTAAATTTGTTTGGACTGTCTTAAAACAAAGTGTCTAGAACATTTTTTTCGTAATAATTGTAATAATGGACAGTGCGTTTGACTGATTTATGTGGATTCTATGAACAAAGTTACACAAATAATGATTAGTCTTTGTTCAAAAATTGTATCATAATATTGAAGATAGTTTTCGTCATAGATTAGAATCTGCCAGAGAACCATTGGAGATTAGAGTACAATAAATGGATCTTTTGTTGTATTTCGTGGCTTCCAAGCAGTATATATATAAGTATACATCAGACTAGTTGAAATGTTTGCCGACTACTCGTTCAAATTTGTCTAGTGCTTTGTTTCATAATTTAATAAAGATCACACCATATAACTTTGAAATTATGGTTCTCAACAGAGATAGTCAATTGTCTTCCGAATATTCGTTAACTAAGACAAAAAATTATTGTGTACAGTAGAGTTTGTAACTTACTAACTGTTCACTTAAGATAAAATTTGTAATTAGATAAAATTAATATTAAAACCTGATAAGACTATCACACAGAATATATAAACTGTTCTGGAATGTTCTTCATCAAGGAGGGAACAGTGAGAAAAAATTGGCGTTAACCGTTATATCATATATATTTTTATGTGACCGTTTTTGATGAAATTGGATTCTTTGAGCTAACCTTTCTGAGCTATAAATCTCTCTCGCCATTTTGACGTGATAGTTTGCTGACTGTAAAACTTATTTAGTTGCATAGACAACCGTTAAACGTATGGTAGAATAATACTATGTAAATAGAGCAAGAACAAACATTGATGCAGAATAGTATGAATTCATATTATTTCGAGATTTCTCGTCAGCTGCTTACAAACCAAAATTGTGATAGAATTTTTTACATGGAGATAGTGTGAAACAATTGACATGAGTGTAAATAACTGGATTACAATAATAACTATATATATATATATATATTGCTAGAAACAGGTCAGAGGTCAAAATACTATGTATTTATCGATTTGCTTCGAGTTATACTATATAACTGTTGGATATTCAGAAAAATATCCCAATAATTATCCTGTTAAGTCTAATGGTGTCCTTGGACTTTAAATGGACATTTCCTACTGGTCAGTGTTTATTTCACTTGTCAAATATTGTACAAATGTTTTTTTCTATTTTATGGTACGATGTGGTCTGTTTGATTGGCATATAAACAGAGTATGTCTGAAATGTAATGATTCATATCTCAGAGGCTGAGACTTGCGTTCTGGACTAACTGGCTGGGCTAGATAGGGAAGCAGGGCCAATCAGGACTCTAGGTTGTCCTTACGTGTTTACGCGTCATTGGCCCGATCGGTAGGTCGCTGACTCTAATCTGCAGTCCACAAAACACAACAATAACATTGGCATACTAAAATGTATGATAACTATACTTCAATCATCGTTTATAATGAATGCCAAGCAACCAATAAAGGAGAAATAAAGGCAAACAGGAGGGAAATAAAAGGGATACTTCGTTAGAAAATAAAAAGGAAATGATGGAGAAATGCACCAGGAAGTTTCCTTATTCGCCTGTAATAAGGAAATGGTGCGAAATTTCCTTTTTTTTCTAGCTCTGTTTGAAATGCCACCGAATTGTCTACTTTTCTCCCAAATTCAGGCCGGATTGTCTACTTTTCGTCATATAGTTGTTAATCACCACATTATATAGAAGTGGCTGGTTAGTGATTCTGTAATGGAATTTGTTCTTGCGAAGTGTGGCCGCTAACATTACGTTATACCTGTCTGCTTTATCCAAGAATGACAGTTGTTCCTATAGGGGCCCCCAGCGGGTACATAAGATACCTGACATTATATCTTATTTGAGGCAATCTTTGGACAGTAGTAAAGTTGGAGGCTTTTAGTTTCTTTGCTTCTAAGTTTTAACCACACTTGTTGGTCTTCTTTAAGTCACATACTTCTTGGATTCTATTTAATACATATGAGTGCCTGCAAACTATATAATTATGTACTACAATTTATATACGTTTCTGGCATTTTTATAGCCTGTAAAATTTTAGTCAATTAAATCTTTATCACAACCAGTATCATTAAGATCATGATCCTATCAACCGTTGGAAACACTGGACGATTGTTTCGTCCCAGT